CTTCTCCAACAATTAGGCTTTGGCACTCCACATGCAGCCTATAGGTTAATTGTCCTAATTTACCCCATGAGGCCTTGTGTGGGATGGATATCAAGTCACACATGCTCCCCTTAAACACTACACCCCTTGGAGGTATGAATGCCTTCTTACCTGGAGTTGCTGGAGCTGGACCCATAGGCTGCTCCTGGTCACCTGCCGTGAGAAGCAGTTTATCCTTCTCTTCCATGTTGTTTCTTAGTTTCTCCTTTGGAAACTGTAGGTTCTCTATGGCTACTTGTAATGCCTGATGTACTGCTAACAAAATTCCATGAAACTATTGCCTTGGAAGATTCACCCAATATCCTTTTTCCCCAATATCCTTTTCCACAACTGCATACTGGTTAGTCTCCATGTTGGTCCCTGTATCCTTTAGCTTTGCCTCTGAGGGACTCTTTCTTCCTTCCAGGTTCTCATCTGTCTTCTCCCTCATAGCCCTGTCAGCCTTCTCCACCATGTCTACACTGGCCGCATGTTCTTGTGCAAGTAAACTGATGTTCTAATGTATAAAATCAGGGCTTCTTGTGCCAGAACTTTGATGCTCCCACTCAGGAATAAGCCCTCTTATGCAAGAGCTCTTCCAGAAGAGGCCAGTGTAGTCAGGCAACATGAATTTCTTGCGCAAGAAAGCCCTATGGTTAAAATGGCCATCAGAGCTTTCTTGCGCAAGAGAGCATCTACACTGGCATGGATGCTCTTGCGCAAAAGCACATGCCAGTGTAGACGCTCTCTTCTGGAAGAGGTTTTGCACAAGAACTCTTCCGCAAAAGAGTTCTTGCGCAAGAAGCTGCCAGTGTAGACGTAGCCTTTGTGTATCCATGATGCAATGTTGGCAGGTGATGTAGGCAAAGGAAGGTATTGCCTTCCCAAAATTGCCTGCATTCTCCCACCACCTGGGAGAGTTGGAGCTATGGCACAGCTCTCAGCCACCTGAGGAAGGCTGGAGCCATGGTACAACTTCACAGATGTCTGTCAACCAGGCACTGTGGCTGGCCAGGAAAGATGGGGCCATGCCACCTGCCTAGACGGGACACTAACGGGGCTGGGGGTTGTAACCTGGAGTGGGTGCTTGGCTTGGATCCACAGGGATTGAAGAAAGGGCAGAGCATCAGGGAATGGGGCTGGCTTGGGACTTGTCTTCCCCACTTAGGGTTTCACCCAACACAGGACCTTCACCCACCACTCTGGGCCTCTGGCCTTCTCTTTCATATTTTTCTCCGAGTGTTGCCCCTTTCCTGGCAACTTTCATTCTCCTTGTTCCTCATCAATACCCCATCCTTTTCCACCCATACATCCTGTTTCTTCCCAGTGGAACCTCAACTTCATTCTGTGGCTACTAGTGAAACAATCCTTTGAGCCACTGGCTTTGTGTTCTATTCCTCCTTTCCATGAAAGTTGCTTTCCTTGCGACTATCACTTCAGCAAGAAGGGTAGATAATCTTGAGGCCATAATGGTGGACCCTCCTTTCCATAAGGATGGATCTCCTGTGCCTGCATCCCAAGTTTCTACCAAGGGTCATATCCTAGCTTCATCTCAACCCATCCATTTACACATTTTATTTCTGAAGCCTCACATATCAGAAGAGGAATGACAACTTCATTCCTTTGACATCTGCTGGACTTTGACAGTCTACCTGCAGAAGATAAGACCAATCAGGAAGTCTCCTAGATTCCCTTCCCCTTCTCTTTCTCTGCTATTTCAGTAAACAGTCTCCACACAGAGAATGTCCAGGTGGATTTTGGGGTCATTACACTATGGTATCAGTTGCTGGAACTGCCTTCACCTGCTGAGGTAAAAACATGAGAGTCAAAACTTTAACCAGGGCTTGCCCTCCATGATGTGCTGCTTCAAGATATATGTAGCACAGCCATATGGAGCTCAGTACATACTTTTGCTACACATTTTGCCTTGGTACAGAACTCTGGAATGGATATCTCATTTGACGTAGCTATTCTTCATTCAAATTTTCCATCCTTATCCTCAAACCATCCTCAGACTTACTGGATGCCAGTCTCCCTCAGTGGAATACAATAGGGACAATCATCTGAAGCAGCAGAAGAGTTTACTTACTTGAACCTGGGAATTCTTCAAGGTGTATGGTCCTATCTGCATTCCATTTCCTACCCTCCTTCTCCACTGTGAATCCGTTGGAATAGAGAAGGAACTGGAGAGTGTGGTCTTTCCACCCTATCCTTTGTCACCTTGGATGAAACCATGAGGCAAGGCAAGGGTTCATGTGAAGACCATAACATTTTCTGACTCTGGACTCCTGGTATGCATGTGTAAAACCTCGGTGAAATACCAATAGGGACCACACATCTTGAAGAACCTCCAGTTACAGGTAAGTAGTTTCCTTTTCTTCACTATCTCCAGGGAGGAAGTAATTTGTTACTGCCTTTGTTCTGAGACTAGTTATGTTGATCCTCTCTGCTGGCTCAGCTTCATTGGCTAGCATAACTGGAGATAGAGTTTTAGGCTCACTGGCATGATGCCTGGTGTACCTCAATGCTTTGAACCAGCTATTTGGATAACTTAGGCAGGGAATCCTTTACTGTCCTATGTGGACATGCTGGGTAAGTAACAATCCTGTCCTTTAAAAAAAATGAATCCCTGGTAAAGATTTATTTTTCACTGGTCCTTGTATATCTCTAGAAAGTCTCCAATTTGGGGGAGAGAGGGCTAGTAACTTTTGAGAAAAACAAGACTGTTGAATGACCAACATGTTCAACTTTGACAAGTAGTTACTATGGCCAGACACTCCAGGTACTATGAAAAGATATATGAGGCTCTCTGCACTCTGGAAATGTTTATGTACCTGCTTAACATCTACTCACATGATAGCATGAAGGTTTGTTCCTTCAGTCCTGCCTATTTTCTAAGCCTGTAATGTTGCAGTCATACATGCAATTTGGCCAGAATATTCACAAGTTTCCATCAACTTTGGATGTCTCAATATTTATCTGACCTGCTTCAAATAAAGTAGTGCTGCTGCTGAGTACCTCCAAATGCAGATTAGAATGCCCAGGCAACATTCAGAATTCTAAAAAGAACGTAAAGCTGGTGATAGGTTCTAATCAGGGCAGGTTCCAGCACATCTTAAACCCCCTGCAAATGTACTTATTTGTCATTCCCTCTCTATGTCCTTGACTGCCATGTTATCCATTCACCCGGTTGATCTCAAAAACGGTATATTGTGTTTATCCATCAATTTCTCACACTCCACACATTGTCACCTCACTCGTACCCCACTCTCTCTGAGTACTCCTCTGTTAGAGACACACACCCCGCCCCCACCTTTCATTCTCACTCAATCTCCCTCATTGCATTTCCTCGCAATCTGTCTTCCTTTTGCCCCCATTCTAACCTCTAGCTCCATTCTCACCCAGTCTCATGGGCACACCCAACCACTCTGTCCAAGAGGCGTTGCTCTAACCTAACTGGTCAGATGGTGTGTGTCGGAGAATGAGGATTGGAGCAAGCACATCCCTTTTTCTGCCTGTCTGCAGGGTCTATTGCTACTCCATGGTCTGAAGCCTTCCAGAACCTGCCCTGATTATAACAGAAAAGAAGCAGTATGCTCAGGGGAGTAAAAGCTCTGCTTACCTCATTGACAAGCTGGATGGAACAACTTCTTCCCTTGCTTGTCCCTGTCCTAGGCTATTCAAGGAAGAATTCGGTCCATATTATTTAACTGCAGTTTTCTGATGGATTTATTTGCCTTATTCACTGAACATATATGAAAAAGAATGTGTGTGTGGGGGGGGAGTGCCTTCTGCATATAAAACCCTTCACGTCTCAATTTTCTTCCTATGTTAGAAAAGGAGCCTGCTGTTAGGTTTTTCTAGTTTCGAAGTAGCACTATTAGCAAGGTCAGGCTATTTCTCCTTACCCAACTGGCACTACTTTTAGATGTGGTAATATTGGCAGAAGGTAGGAGAGTTCCGCCATTCCAGGGGTATCACTGCTGACCCTAAGCTGACAATCTGGCAGTGCGAGGTGCAAGTGTTTAGAGATAATGGCCTAGTCCCTCTATAGGTGTTTCAGTGGGAATTAAGCTCCTAAATATCTTGTGAGGTCCTAGGCAAAAATGATTCCCTAGTATGGTGCACTGTGAGATGTATCAGATCCCAGAATAGAACAAAGGGCAGCAGGACCAATGGCAGCTTTCAGAGTCCTGATGATGCTGTTCACATTTCTGCTGCTTCTCAGAATAATATTGCTTTGCATTTACTTACTCCCCTTGCAGAAGTTACCTGAGTTATGACTAGACAATAAGGAGACCATCTTCCTAGAAGGCATTTAATTAGAGGCTGCTCTGTGGATTAGACAGTTTTTGTGGACTGTGTTGGTTTATCCTGCTATTTCTTACTTTGCCCCCAAACACTGAAGATATCTATCTTATTTGTTTGTATCTTATCATTTATTTAACATCTGCAAAATCTTGCACAGCAGAACTGTGCTGAGTGGTTACATTAATCATTAATTAACTTAAAACCATCTAACTGCGTAACCAGGTCTTTCCTTACACTATTCCTCTATCCTCTTTCCCCCTTCCCTTCTGATTGTTACACCCATCTCCTACACTTTTGCTGAAATCTGATTAACTCTTCAGGGCAGAGATGACACTTATAAGTTTGAACAGTGCCGTGTACAGTGGGTCCCTGTCCTTTGTAGAGCCACAGTGCTTCCACGGTATGAATTTATAAGAATAATAAAAGTGTTTGTGGTCTGTTTTCCAAAGAGGAGAGACGGGAAACAAGGAAAGAAAAGAGGTTCCTTTGTATAGACAACCCATCTGTGTAGTAAAATCTGAACTATTTGAGGCTGGTTACAAAGCAAGTCAGGGGAAAAGTCATTCTGAAAGGTTCACACAGCTTTATTGGTAGCTAAATTAATTACAAACTTTATTTTCTAGTTGCCTACTACCTCCTAATCATTCATTAGTGACACTGGTCCTTTGCAGATCAGAACTAGCTTCCTGCTGTGATGCTGTTCACAACCTTATTGCTTCTCAAAACAACACCCTGCTGGGAAGTAACATGAGTTATGAGGTGGACAATAAAAAGACTATTCTCATCACAGAAGACATTTTTAGGATGCTGCCTGAGGTAAGAACAGTTTTTCTTTCAGAATTGGAGCTTTTTTTTTAATTTGGTTCTTCAGAGAACAGACTCACCACACACATTCTCCCACTCACTCTCCTCAAGGCCTTATTTCTTGATAAATGTCTTGTGCAAAAGAGAGAGGCTCTCTGGTATATGTCTACACTGCACCTGAAAGTGAGCTTCACAGCCCAGGTCCATAGGTCTGTACTAGTGCAGATTAAATAGCTGTGTAGAAGTAGTGTCTCGGGCTGGAGCTTGGGCTCTCAAGCTCACTCACCGTTCCCCCACTTTGGAGCTTAAGTCACAATGTCTACATGGCTTTTTTAGCATGCTTGTGTGAGCCCTGCTAGTACAGGCCTGTGGACCTGGGCTGGGAGGCTCACTTCCAGATGCAGAGTAGATATACTTAAGAATCCATGAACCCTGCTGGTAGATCAGCCACCAGGGCTACTGCAGAGCACTGCAAACTGCAGCCTGTCTCGGAGCCAGATGTGCTTGTGCAGTCCAGGGGCAAGAGGCCAGGTCTGTGGACAGCCTGGTTTCAGGTGATTACGAAAAGTTTCACTCTTCAGTAGATTTGTCATATTCTTTCTTTCCTGATGCCAACCACAGTGGTGTGAAACTAGAGTGAGTGAAAAGAGAATCAGGCCTTGTTCAGCTTTGGTATCTGCTGATATGAAGATGTACTTGCTATCCCAGCCAGACTAGTTTAGCCTTGGGTCAGTTTCACCTAATACCTTGTGTTTGTGCAGTGAAACTGAGTGACAAAAACCAAATTCTTTCTCCAACGTCACAGAGGTACCTTGGTTCTCCAGCCTTTTTCATTGTGTTGTCTTGAGATAAACTTCTCCAGGGACTGGCATTTACCAACTTTCATACTCTTTCTTGCCTTCCTGTATGTCACCATCTGCCGTTTCTCTCCTTTTCCCTCCCTCCCACTTGGCCAGTCTAAGAGAATCTGAGAGAAGGGGGAAGATAACATTAGGCACCTGAGTTTCCCCCAGACAGTAGCAGTTCTTGGAGGTCTCCTTAGATATGTGGTCCCACTAAGGGCACATCTGCACATCTCAAGCTTAACCTCCTTTGCATCTGCGCTGCACTGCAATTACAGAGACTCAGATCCCAGGATCCCCAGGGCTGCAGTGTACAAGCACAAGTCAAGCCAGGAACCAGGGCTCGAGCCCTATTCCTTTGCAGTGTAGATGCAGCTTTGGGTGGGCTCTTACCCTGGGAATCTGGCAGAAGTATCCCACAATTCCACGGGCCAATCTCCTTAGTCCTCGCTATCCCAACAATCCAAGTTAACTTGAAAATGAAAGCTGCCCCCTTTGGTGCAAGGCAACAGTTCATTGTTAACTCATTTTCTTCTGACCGCCACACTACCAGCACACTGTAAAGGAGTCTACAGGCTGTGCAATTGAGACTGAGCAGGGCAAGACTTTTTTAAATCGTATGGCTTCATGGTCATGAAAGCACAACCCAGTTTTGGTGAATCTCTGGGGCAAGGCCAGGAAAACTGTGGACTTTAGCAAAAGCACTAGAAATGACCCCATGTTCCAGCAAAAAACCTGGCTGCTTTGCAGATTTTCTAGACAAATGATCAGGGTGGAGGGCATATTAAGAAGCTGAAGGGCAAGAACTGGAAGACCAGAGACAAGAATCACTTCTCAGGCAACTTGCCAACATCACGACTGTTTAATGAAGAGGTTGGCAGGGCACTGGACTCTGCACCCAACACGGAGCCATGTCTGGATCATAACAACCTGGTGAACTGGGATGATGCTCTGCAGGCTCCTGAATACAGCATGGGGACTTTTGGGAGCCAGCAGCAGGCTCTGAGTGATGTACACAAAGTGACTGTTAAACGTTCTGAAACCAATCCCAGAGCAAACTGCGCATCAGGATCAACAGCAAGTTCAAGAAGAGCTGTTTGATTCCCCCCTCTGAGAACAGCCCACTGCTGAGCCTACAGCTAACCTGTCGAAGACAGAGGCTTCTCCGAGGCCGGTAAGTTTATGACTTGGATTTACAGTTAATGATTATAGTAATTGGAGGGTTTTCTTTGCTGGAAGCAATGCACAGGTTATGATCAGCCCTAGCTACATTGGGTGTCCACTAAGAGTATTGGAGCACATTGGTGTCCCCTCTCTGGCCAGCATGTGAAGTTCAAAATGGTGACTGGGAATTTCAAACCGTCATAAACAACTGCAAAGGGTGTTTTTACTTTAAAGCCACAGATGTTTGCTACGGTCAGCTATGTTTCCTTTCACTAGTAAGAGCTTGAAATTTGCCACTCTGCAATCTCTCCTCCTTGCTCGGTGGAGCCAGCTGGAAACAATGAACTTAGTGTGTGTGTTTTGGAAACTGTCTTCTATTTCCCAGTCAAGTTCATTGCAGTTAGAGGTAGTCCATGCAGTTCGTGCATCACAAATTTATTTTTTCCAAGTACAAGTCACTTTTTGTCCAGAACTGTAGTGGATGCAAGGAGGAGGAAGGCTATAGAACTCCGCATATTTTCTGTGCAGCAATAGCAGGGTAAGCAATGTGTGAGCTAACTAACACAGCATCCTGTTAATTCCCTCATGGATTCTGACCCAGTCCCAGTTACTGATGGCTGCAAACTTTTCCTGAAGCAGGAACTCCAGATATGCAGTTAGACTGTGGGAAAGGGCGTATTTCCCAGGGCCACCTCAGTAGCTGACTAGCCCCTTCCATTCGCTGATGTGCTTTTCAATCACTTTGGCTATGTCTACACTGCCAGTTTTTGCAGCAGAAAATATTCTAATGAGGGGCTCATTTGCATGAGTCGCAATCTCATTTCCATATTTTCTGCTGATCCGCTTTTGCATTAAGGATTTTTGCGCAAAAACAAGCAGTGTGGATGTTTTCTTTTTGCACAAAAAGCCCTTTTTCCACAAGATCCTTATTCCTCAAAAAAGGAGCTATACTGATCTTGCAGGAAAAGGGCTTTTTGTGCAAAAATAAAACGTCTATACTGCTTGTTTTTGCGCAAAAACCCCTAGTGCAAAAATAGATCGGGAGAAAATATGCAAATTAGATCACAACACATGCAAATGAGCCCCTCAGCATATTTTCTGCTGCAAAAACTGGCAGTGTAGATATAGCCTATATGTTTGACTACTTCTGCTGCATACATTGTGGATTTCTCACCAGCAGCTTGAAATAACATCTCCCTTTGGCAATAGGGCATCACAAGAACAGTTGTGTCCTCCAAAGTGTGGAACACCTGAAATGAGGAAGAGTCTTTTGCAGCACTAGCCTCCCCCACATGCATGCTCCATATGCCACTTAGTTCTAACATTTTATAGAATAGGCTGTAATTTTAACCTTCCCACTATCTCTTCTGTTCTGTAACTGCGAGTAACCAAGCTGTAGCCAGAGAGAATTTTGGACTGAAGCATTCCCATTATAATACATGTGGGTTCAGTTCAGAAATGTTTCATTTTATGTCCCTGAGATTCCATAAGAATGAATTCTGAGGTCCTCCACTGCACACTGTAAACAGTAACCCTCTGTTTCTTGCCCTGTTTCAGGCCTCTCAACCTCTCCTGCCTGATGCTCATAAGGAACTTGATCCATGGCCCTGTGTACCCTCATGGGCCATTCCAAAGATAACCTCTTCCATAATGAATTTATGGTCCATGTTCTGGACACAGCAGACCAGCAAGTCCAGTACCAGACATAGACAGATAAAAGCCGGGAATAAAAGTGTGCTGAGGCAGGAGGAAAGGCTGAGGCTTGCCACCCAGGTGGAGGACAGGATTTCAGCGAAGGAGCAAGCACTCGCAAAGCAGTTTCTGAGAGGAACTGCAGCTAATGACAGAGGACAGAGCTCAACAGAGAGAATTGTTTCAACAACTCATCTCCGTTATGGCTGCAGGAGCTTTTTATCCTACTGCCACACCACAGCCTGATCCATCTGCAACTTACTCTCAGGCATATAGTAACTTGGCCAACTCCATTTTGGGATAAGAGACTGGGCAGAGCAACTAAACCCTAATGCAGCCTTTCTTCTGCGACTCATTTCCTGTGGATACTTCCAGTCTTCCTTCCTGCCCTGCCAACGTGTGCAGGAAAAGTGGGAATAAGAAAACGGAACATGGAGCATATAGTGATAGAGTTTGTGCTTTTCATGTTTCCAGCAGTTTTTCTATGGCTTTTTTTTAAAATGTTCTTTTGCTACTTCTTTTGGGTGTTGTGATGACAGCTGGCCTGTCCAGCAGGGGTTGACTGTTGTGCTGTTTTAATATAAGTTTACAAATAAATTTTTTAAGTCCTCAAGAAGTTTATTGCTCCCACTGCACCACATGATACAATCATGAGTTCAGATAATAATGCTAAAAACATGATCAGGTGCAATTATGCATTAGCAAGCAGACACTATTCCTCTATCTGTCAATGTCCAGCAATTCACATTCAAGAAATTCAATATGTAAACCCATGTCCCTCTGCCTCCAATTCGTTAATTATCACATCATTCATAACTACACTGTATGGCACTCATGTCCACCCACCTTCCAAAGCACTAAATGCTCCATTCAAACATTTAACTAGTCCCTTCCTCCTCACACACACATTCATACAGGTACTATTCCCACTCTTCCATTGGGTCACATAACTCCATAATATGAGAACACAAAATATCCTCACTTCTGCCTTGGTACAACAAGCTCCCACAGTGGTGGCTGCACTTCCTGGCTGTGGGCACCAGTTCAGTGACCCCTCACAGCCCATTCAGGGGGAAATGGCTCACTTCTGGCTTCACAAATGTTGTGAAGAGCACAACAAACCACAATAATGGGGACAGCATTGAGTACACGGGCTTCATCACAGGTTTGTAGACATCTCCAACATGAATTTAATCTGCCAAAAGTCCACTCAGCAACCATTGATTGTGTAATTAAATGCAAAAGAGTGTATGCAAGCTCCCCCCAAATAATGGTGGGGACAGTAACTCCATTCATGACAATGCCATTTAGTAAGAATAGTGTTCCCATTTGGTCCAGAAATGTAGACTCCCAAGTGGCTAAAAGTTGCTAACATGAACTCTCCCAAAACAGCCCACCTGGATATTCATAAATTGGCCTGTGTGGCCCACAAGGGTCTGCCTACCAATGAAGCAGCACCTTTTGCAGGTTTTGCACTAGTGCTTCGTGAGGAGAGCATACTATGGGTACAAAAGTCTCATCAGTGGTCCCAGTGCAGTTTGGAAACCCCATTCTTTCCAAGATAGCAATTACTCTGGAATATCTGCAAGGCCTGCCACTCTGGAGGAAATGACACATCTGATTGGCTCACTTACTTCTGCTACTACGTTGCCCGCTACCAACTTTTCAACCCCAAACTGGTTGGCAATGAACCTGTAGCAGTTTGGGATAGCCACTTCCAGACAGTTATGGCAACCTGCTTCTGGACCAGCAAGGGTGACCTCAGCTGTGTTTTGTTACACTGAAGGATGAAGGCATGCTGCTCACAGACATCCAAAAGGGTAGCTTGCTTCCTGCAAAAGTTTTGGTTCCACTGCTGGTCATCCCAGGTCTTCATGACAATGTGCTGGTGGCCCTGTGGCAGACATGCTGGTCTACATATGGAGTATCAGTGGCTATGCCAGTTGTACCAAGCAGTATCAGCCAGTGCACTCCTCCTCCTGCTGCTGCTCCATCAGGAAGCTCACATTCAGGTACCTTTGGGTGGGATAGAAAATGCTGCTGAAATGTCCACCAGTGCCTCATGGATGCTTTGCCCGTTTCCTGTCACACAAATGAAAGCACAAGTGAGAGAAGTTCTTCAACAGGCATGTCTTCCATGTTGCTCTTTCCAGTAGCTGAGAACACACAGAACAAAATGCCTGCTCGGCAGGATGTGTCAGCAGACTGTTCAGACATCTGATAGCATGCAACGTGGGCTGTCAAGTTTTCCACAGTACATCCTGGTCGCGGGGCTAGAGTGGCATTATAGGAGGGCCCTTGGGACTCAGGGATATGGTTGGATTGACTCAGGTCTGTGCACATCTCTGGATGCCAGAACTCCAGCTTTGAGCATAGGTTAAAAAGTCTTAACATAGGGTTAAATAACAACGTAGATGCTTAAGTCCAGGATTCCCTAACACAGGTCAGCTGCTTTGAGTCCCACAACCGGGGGCTTACATTGCAGTGTATCCCCACCCCTTAGGGGATACTGTCTATAACCGGAGTATTTTATGGTAAAATGTATCCAATATGTTCTAAGGAAAAGAACAAAGCAAGTTATTTATCTTTTTGTGCATGTTTAGCAATGCAAAATTGTTTCCCTAAAGTATGGAAAGCACAGATAGCAGCTAACAGTCCATTTTTGCTCATTCTACATCTGTTACTTCTGACTGTTCATGGCAGACATATGCTGCATTCTATGTGCGTTCTCTGCTATTTCCTGGAGTTAGCCTAAATTTATAATCTTATTTACATAGTACTGGAAATGCAAAAAAACAAAACAACAACAAAAACCACACACAAACCCAAACTCTGTTCACGCTTTTTTTTTTTTCATTATTCTTTTCAGTCCCCACCTTTTTTGGGCTATCCTTTTAAGCACTGTGCAGTGGTTGGAAATGGGGGCATTCTGAAAAACTCCAGCTGTGGAGCTGAAATCGATAACTCTGACTTTGTATTTAGGTAAGAGCTGCTAAACACTATTGTGCTAAATCTCTTGAAAGGACTCTGTCAAGCTTGATAGGCCTAAAAGCAAACCTGTGCTATGGCTTGTGGGTGTGCACATGCACCCCATTCCTGTCTCCCCACCTTCCCAGATTGTCTGCCCCATTCTTCAACACAATAGTCAAGGATCCTTTATATTTCACTACTTCAGGTATCTGTGATTTCGGGTCTGGCCCATGTACTGAGGAACTAACGGATTGCCATATTTGGAGCTGGGAAGTCATTCCCTTAAATTAATTTGGCAGAGGTTTTTCACCTTCCTCTGCAACATAAGGCATGAATCATGTAGACGGTGGATTCTCTGCAACTTGAAGTCTTTAAATCATGATTTGAGGTCTTCAGTAATGCAGCCTGAGGTCATGGGTCTGTTACAGGAGTAGGTGGGTGAGGTTCTGTGGCCTGCAATGTGGAGGAGGTTGGACAAGATGATCACAATGATTTCTTGTGGTCCTAGATTGCAGGAGCCTATGAACCTGGGTGTGTTCTAGTTTGGGAGTTGAGTCTCGGTGAAGGTCAGACTTTTGCTTATTGAATGATCATTTAGGTTTGAGGAGTGTTTTTCTTTGGCTCGGGAGAAGAGATTAAAAAAGACAGTGATGTAAGCTCACATTCAATATGTTACAGGCTTGCCTTTGCCTTATAATATTTATCCCAGGCACCTTACCTTTTGTGGGTTTTCTTGGGGAAAATCCCCTAGCTCCCTACCAGCATTTTCAGAAACCTAAGTACCTTTGAAAATCTGCTTTTAAGACCTTAGAGTACTTTTAAAATGTTACCAATTGACATTCAGATTACTATGCAGAGGTATAAAGTTGAACATATGGTTGCATGCATTGTTGGATGGAGACCTTGGACCCAGATATTTAAAGGTATGTAGGCCTTGCACTGCTGAGTGGAACAAGGCCTAGGGACCAGATTTTTAAAGATATTTAGGTGCCTAAAATACATATGGGCACCTAAATAGCTTCTCAAACTCCCAGTGGGAGTTGGGCACCTTGGAACTTTTGAAAATCCTTCTAGGAACCTAACTGCTTCTTGAGGTGTCTTTCTGGCCCTGCCTATGGTGCAACTATGAGCAATCCTCCCAACCTGGGCAGCCAGACTTGTAGTAGTAGAGCTCAAACTAGCACATACAAAAACAGCAGTGTGGAAGTTGCAGCTTGGAAGGCAGGTTGGGTTCTCAAGCCCACTTGAGGCCTTGGGTCTGAGGTTGGATGGCAGAGATGCCTAGGGAGTTTCATTGAAGAGTGTGGTAGTGAAATTTTCACTCTGTTCTCCACCAGGCACTTTCCAATGTGCAAGAGAATGACACTCTTGCAGACAGAACTCAGTGCCCGCACCCACCTGCTCTGGATTTTGTCACCTTTCTTATTTTGCATCTAGTGTTCTCAAATAAGCCAAAAAAGAACCCTTCCCGTGTCTAATTTAGATGATTGGCCTAAATAGAAGTGATGAACCTACAAGATGAGATGCTGAACCTAAATTTAGCAGGTGTTTAAGAATGTGTTAGTAAGCATAATTCAGACTCAAACCTTTTCTTTGTTACCTTCAATACATATTGAGTATTTACTATTGACCCAGTAGTTGGAATGAATTAGTAGTTGGACATATTTCCATCTAGTGCCAATTGCATCTTTAGTATTAATCACACTAATTTTAGTTAAACTACAGAAAACCTCAAGAGGAGCTGGATTACTTTATCTTGGATGGAAACAGGGCAGAATATAGTCTAGTGGTTAGAGCAGGGGATCTGGGAAGTGGGACTTCCTGGTTTATTAGTGTCTTGGGTACAGACTCAGATGATTTGAAAAAAATGTGACTGTACCTCAGTGTACTTATCTGTATAATAGGTTAAATAATTATTTTTCAGGCATATTGGAAGGGTTCAGTACTATTTCTTTCTTTATTTATTTATTTATTAAGTACTAGAGGGAGGTGACCTATAAACATTATGGTACAGTTGTGGGAGCTGCATTAGAATAATGGCAAGGCATTTGTGGTGGGGTTCTATTTAAATAGCTGTTTCTAAACCTCAGGTGTAACCTTCCCCCAACCATAGGAAGCGTTAGCAAAGATGTTGGCAATAAAACCAATCTTGTGACTGTTAATCCAAGCATCATAGCACAGCGGTAAGTATCACCACAATTTTTGTTCCTATGTAATGTTTTAATTGTTTGACATGCTTTAGATTTTGTTACAAAACGTTTGGGATTCATCACGGTGGGCAATGCATTCTGATTACTTCACATTAGGGATTCTTAACTCCCAGGTAAAAAGTAGACTAGTGTGAATGTAAATCTATTAAACAAGTCCAGAGATTATAGTGCCTCTGTTTGCACCCATCCAAGTGATCTAAGCAGGGGCAATAGCAGTCATTCTCATTTCAAGTCTATTCTCTAAAACTGGCATTTATAGCAATGACTTAGGAAAGCCCTTAAGCATGTGTCTAAGAAGTCCATCAGTGGGACTTACAGTTAAACATGTGCTCAAGCATTTTCCTGAATTGGAGCCTAAATTTGTATAATACATTGTCCAAACACTAAAGAATGCAAAGCAAAGTAGATCTCCCCTTTTTCTCCAAAGTATTTTGCTTTCCTCCCCTTCTTGGGAAAACAACAACAAAAATCTGATTAGAACTTGCTAATTATCATATAACCTTCAGTTTCACATTGGACCCTTCGCTGATCTAGCTAATGCTTATCTGCCAAATAAATCAGTGTAGTATATTGATATTTATGGTTTAATAATCCTACAGCAGCTTAAGGTCCATCTTCTCTATATTCCTCAAACAGACATGACAGACAAAATTGACTTTAACTTTAAAGTGAGAAGAAAACAATTGAATATGCAGAAATCTGAAGTTTTGTTGTAGCTATGGCAGTCCCAAGACATCAGAGAGAGAAGGTGGGTGAGGTAATATCTTTTATGGGACCAACTTCTCTCTCTCTCACCAACAAAAGTTGGGTCAGTAGAAACTACTACCTCCCTATCTTGTCTCTCTAAAAGAAGTTTGTCATTGAATCAGGGAGATAGCTGGATTCTTTGGGATAAATTCTGCTTTGATGCTTTTGCAATCCTTGCTGATATAAATGAAGATGTATTTGTGGATTACACTAGCAGTGAATTTGACCCATTGACTTCAAACTTGTTTTCACTTGCAATGGGGTTGCAAGTGAAAATAAATTTTGGCTCAGAGGTTCAGCATAAGTAAGCAGTTTTGTTGGTGGCAATTGATGCTATTTATTGTTCTCCGTCTTACTCATGGTGTTCCACTAAGTTTTTATCTCTGTCTTTATTCGGGCAAACTTCCATTGAAGTCAATAGTGTTAATCTTAGTAAGGACTCAATAAAAACTAGTCGGGACTTTGGAATTTGGACATTTCTATGACTTTATTATTCTGAGAAAGCTGTAAGTGCCTTAGAAGGAGGAGAGGGAAAAGGTTGTCTAGAGAACTGCTCTAATTTTAATCACTTTAAATTCTAATTAGCAAGCTAAGTGTGGGATTCTTCCCACAACATTTTAGTTGAAGTTATATCAGCTATTCTGGTATTTTCAAGGTGTTTGCAATACAGATATAAAAACTATGCAAGGCTGAAATAAAGTCCCAAAGCAAATCCACTTTGATCATTATTCTTATATTGCAGAATTTTGGACACAAGATCTGGCAATTCATTAGAAGTGTTGAGTCAGTGGGAGCTTTAGGTGCTCTCAGATTAGAAAATCAGATGAGTCCTATTTAAAAAGCAGCTAAGGTTCTGACTCTGTGAAGACTTAATCATGTGCTTAATTTTAACTCCATGAGGACTATTCACATCCTTAAAGTCAGGCACATGCACAAGTCTTTGCACAGTCTACATTTGCAAAGTAGCTGCCTCACACATGTAGTAACTATTTTGCATTCAGATTTTTATGATGCATGCTAATGTGCAATTTTTAAATGTGTGAGGTTTCTTGTACCTTCCTTTGAAGACATGATCCTGGATGGGGTGGATCACAGGTCTGATTTGGTGTGGCAATTCTTATGAAATTAAGTAAATTGTAATTATTTAATAATTCACATAAGGCCAGATTTTCATAATAGCACATGTAAAACTGTGATCATATCATACACATTTACTATATGAACTGATAAAATGGCAATGACCGAGCTCACAGATTATATGTTCAAGCAGTTGTGAAAATCTGGCCTTTGATAATACTGAATTCAAGCATTTTTTCCTTCTAAAACTGATAAGTTCACTAGGCATTTTATTTGACAGATACAACAAACTGAATGAAAAGAAGGTGACATTTCTGGAGAACATGGCAAGTTATGGAAACGCTTTCCTTTTACTGCCAGCATTTTCCTTCAAAAGCAACACAGCTGCATCTTTCAAAGTATATCACACTCTGCAAGAGTTCAGAGCAAAACAGAGGGCGATATTTTTCCATCCCAGGTATCTGAAAAGTCTTGCCCAGTTCTGGAGAACTAAGGGCGTGAAAGCATATCGATTGTCTTCTGGCTTTATGATTGCAAGTGCTGCTGTTGAACTGTGTGAGAATGTGAAGTTGTATGGCTTCTGGCCTTTCTCTAAAACCACAGAGGAGATGCCAATCAGTCACCACTATTATGACAACCAACTGCCCAAGCCGGGTTTCCATGCAATGCCCAAAGAATACAACCAGATTCTCCAGCTTCATGGGAAGGGCATTCTGAAGCTGCAATTTGGTAAATGTGACTCAGACGAAAAAGGTAGGTCGGATTCCTCAAAGATGAAACACTTCAGTTTAAGTAAGTATCAGGGCATAAGTGCCTTTTCTGCAACCCCGGGTGAGGGGCAGGAAGCTGCTATTCCCCGTATATGCACATTGCTCCCAAAGAGAGGTATGTGTATGAATTAGAAGAGGGATTGACTCCGCTGCAATATACAGTACAATGGAGGTGAAAGATTAGGGTCAGCTCTGACTTCCGCTTCTAAACTGCCAACTTCCAAGGACATATGAAGGACTGGCAGCACCATCCATGATTGCCACAACTCAATCTATCAGTAGTGTTCCATGATCTCAAATACGTGCCTGCCAGTCTTTTGTGTTTTATAATGGATTCCCCAAGGTGTCCTCTTGACTAAAAGTGGGTTAAGACAGACACATTCTGCCACCTGAAAGAGAGAAAAGGTGAGATTCTGGGGCTGCCTAAAACTTTGTACACAGGGGCAGATGAGAGTTTTGGGGGTCCAGGGAAGCACAATTTCGTGGGACCCCCCCTTTGAAGAAAAAAGGTGTCAAATGCACAAATTGAAGGCTATTTTCATTTTAAATGTGAATTGGGTAAATTTGATAGAAACTTAATTTAGTTGGATAATTTTTATTTTCATTATATTGTAAGTCATTCTTAAACAAAATTCTGCATTAATACTTAAACATTTTAATTTGTATTTAAGTTCCCCGCCTGCCTCACTCTTTCTCTTCTCTTCCCCCTCCTGCTTCACTCTCTTTCTCTTCTCCTCCTGCCTCACTCTCTCTTTCTCTTCTCCTCCTCCTCCTGCCTCACTCTCTCTTTCTCTTCTCCTTAGTCCTCCCCCTCCTGCCTCTCACTCATGAAGCCCAAACAGCCATTTGGTCCCTGCATGGTGTCCCGGCTGAGCGGCGCAGAACTCAGCAAAGCGCCATGGTGGGAGGAGAAGGGGGTGGGGCAGTGATGTACATGGCCAGGGGGTGGGACCTGGAGCCCCCTGGCTGTGTACATCACCGCCCCGGCCCCGCGCGGCAGCTCGGCGCGGGGCCTATTGCAGCGCGTGGCCCGGGGCAGCCGCCCCACTTGTCCTGCCCTATATCCGCCGCTGTTTGTACGCTGTTCCAACAGTTTTCAGGGCCATACAAGGGAGAAGATCAGAAAAAGAAGGAAATGGCAGGTGTATACAACTTTGTGTCCTCCCACTTACATGTCCCTAAATATAGTGATTATGCCAGGTTGACACAAGAAGCAGAAATTGCTACAGTTCTCTGTGTTGGTGCAGTTCTGGTTTGAAGAGTAGCCAGTTGACAAAAGTGGAGACGCTGTTGCAGATTACAAGAGCTCTTGGGGCTACTGTAAATTACTTTGGGGTCTACACTGGCCCACAGCACACCCCAGAAGCAGAGAGACATGAAGCACTGTACTCGTTATCTGGGCTGAATCATCTTTGTTCTGTACCCCCTAAGAAATGCAGCACAGATCTTGAGGCAATTTACAGAGAGCAAATAACAGTTGATTGTGGAAAGATTAGTTTGGTTGCGATATTCTTCTGACCTGCTGGTGAAACACAACTTGTCAAGATTGCTGTTTGCACATCCTTCAGCTACATCAAAATTTCCAGCTCAGCATCTAGTATTGTTGCTCACTATCACTCTCCAAAATTACTCCAGTCACTAGGACTTTGGCTCTATATAAGACATGAGTTCAAACACTAATAAATGGGTTACCATGAGACATAACTTTTAATTGGACTGGTATAATTTTCTGTGGCATTTTTAAAGTTATATAAAAGATTATCCAGTCCAACAAGCTGAAAGTTCAAAAAATAAAAAATACTTTTCTTCTGGTTTGACTGTGAAATGAATTTCAAAATAGTTGTCCATGCTATTTAGAAAAAAAACATACTTTCAAATATACATTTCACAGTTGATTTATATTTTTAAGAGAAGGCTGCTTTTTAAATGTTCAGACTGATGGGCCAAGTCAAATAATCACAATTTTCTTCCAATGGTTTCAAATCTTCTTATGTTCAAAAGAATGAAACAGAATGAGAATTGCTTATGCATAACATTACATACTGAATAGAATGGGAGGATGAGGAGGAATATGCTTGCACACACACACACACATGACCAGCTTATATTTTTAACTGTAAAAAGGAACAGCATATAGGGAATGTTGAGAAATACATCATGTATTTCTTAGTCACACATGCAGTTGCTATGCTTTTTACATTCTGCAGTTTCCACTGTTTGCTCTTCATATAATATTAATCATGATAACTATGCCATATAACTTTAATTATAGTAACTATGCCAGCTAGGAAAATGAATAGGAAGCCATTTATGAATTTTTCATCAGAATGAAGCACATAGTAATCACAAAAAAAGCTTAAGCATGTATATGGGTGAATTAAACACTGTGAATGCTTGACAGATTGAGGAGCTGAAAACCATTTTTGTGGCCAGATTTGTTCAGCAAACTGCAAAAAACAATCTGAGGAGAATTGCACTGCCCTAATACTAAAACTTTTTGAATTAATGGTTTGTATTTCCAAAAGAATAGAATGTAGTCCTTTAAAAACAAAGAAGTGGAATTTTTTATTAAGATGTACTGTTCTACCAGTATTATTAGAGAGAACTGACATTTTTAATTAAGTTTTTCATTAATGCTTTTTGAAATCTGATGTTTTCACAATTTTTAAAAAAAAATTCCACTCTCTAGTGAGCACAAGAACTAGGTCTGGGTCTGTCTCATGAATGTGTGTGCAACTGGGACAGTTTCCTTAGACTCCCCTTTCTCTTTGGGGCTCCCACAGAGGTGTCAGCCATAATCTTGCCCAAAGCATTGTCCGTCTGCAGCTGTAAATGAGCACCATTTCATTGGCTTCAGTTGAGTTCAATACTGTAACAAAGTGGCAGGATTCTTTTGTTGACCCATCCTTTTAGCAGGTGTCAGACCACTGCAGAGAGATGGAAAATGATTCCTGAAGAATCCTTGCAGAAGGTGTGGTCTGTTGACTCCACCCTCGTGATAAGAAAAGTGTCTTTTTAAAGAGAGAAAATTATGGTTTGGATTACTGATGCAATGTCAAGGAAACCCTAAGAGTGGCCAGGAAGAAAGCTTAGCCTGAGGCTTACATTAATTATTATGGGGTGGGGCTGGGATGAGGGGTTCAGTATGCAGGCTGCCCCAGGAAGAGAGGACAACCCCAGCCCGCTCTCACTGTAGCTGCTTGAGGCCATGTAAAAAGTGCCTGTCAAAGATTACTGCAGCTGCAGTGGGTACAGCTGAGGGAGGTGTGCATGTCCCCTGGCTTGGGGACAGACAGACAGACAGACACACGAAGAGACAAACTCTCTCAAATATATAGTAGACAGCTATCCCTTTCTCCACTCCTGCCTCTGATGCCCCATTGGGGTTACAGTTGTCCTAGTCCCCATTTCTGAGGCCTTGTTGCTCCCCTGTGGTCATTCTACAGCCTAATTGTCCCTGATAGCAGAACCCTCCATTTCCATTTTATGAGAAACAATTGCATTCCAGGCATATCCCATTGTCTTGGCAAAACCAGACCCTTATATTGCTTTAAGTTATGATACGAAGAAGATGCAAACCAAATTTGGTGGTTCTAGCTCTTATTGTTTAGGAAAAGTTCTTGAACAGAACAAGACCGACAGACAATTTACTCACTCACAGACAACTTTTTCAAATATATAGTAGATTAAATAACTAAGTAGCATTTGTTATGGATCTCTGGTTGAAGAGAGGCTTGTTTGCTCATTGGTTTAACGAGATAAACCTGGAGGATTCAAATAAACATAGGCTATGGGGAAGAAAAATATTTCATTTTCCTATATAGAAATAGCAGGGAGAAGAATCCGCTGGAAGGAAAAAATGTCAAAAGATAAATTAATTAGTTTGGCAAAAATCATATTGTTCAGAAGTCTCATTCAAGTGCAGATGCTATCTGGCTAGCAAATCTGCCAGGTGTTCTGCCAGCTAGAAAGAAAGAACAAGGAGACTCGCTCCAGATGGAGGACATCTGACACAGCATTAAGCTGCTTCTCACAGAGGTAGCTGGCTAGTCAGAGGCTGAGTTACGGCATATCTACCCTTGCTGTTTAAATTTGGAAAATTCCCTTTTTGCACACAAACTGGGAGTGTCTACACTTGTCAGTGATGTGCAGGTGAAGACACATTCTTGCTGCTTAGAGTTTTTAGTCTCCACAGTATATCCCACAATGCCTAGGTGACCACTCTATCCAGCAGCTCTGCTGCTCTAATGCCAGGTAAAGAGACATCTGTCTAAGGCAGACTGCCTTTCCCCCTGTAAAGCCCTTGGAACTTTGAAACTCCCTATTTTCTTGGCAAGTGCTCACTTATCTGGCGAGGTGACAACAGCTGAGCTCCTGGAGCTTACTGGTATTTTGGGAGAGGGGGCTATGCAGGGACCCAGAATACCTGAAATCACTCCCATCCCTCCCAGGGGAGTGCCATTGTGGGATAGCTTCCCTCAGGGCACTGTTCCCATCAGCAATGGAAGTGCTGCAAATGTCAACACCTGTAACCCCAAGTGAGTACACAAACGAGTGCTTTTCCTTTATCAGTTCCCTATCACAGGTGAAACTAACAGTGCAAAAGCTCTGCAAGTGTAGACTTAGCCTTTAGGGATGTAAAATCCAGTTTAATCAATGTTAAATGTTATGTTTAACCAGTTAGCTGCTAAAACAGAGGCGGGTAGGGGCTGCTCTGGCTGGCCTGAAATACTCTGTGTCCACAGTTTGGCATGGCAGGCCCAGCCCTCTCATCTCCCCAGACTGCCGCAGGAGAGGACTGCTCCAATTAATCTGGAGTGTCCCCGGATGCTCTGGCCAGACTGGGGCTGCCTCCAGCAGAAGCTGTTCTCTCTGGGCTGGAGCACCCCATTCCCGCAGCATGGCATGAGGGGCCCGGCCCCACTGCGTGTGGTGTGGTGGGCTGTTCTGGCCAGGTCGGGCCCACCATGGGCAGGAGGCTGTTCTGGCCAGGCCAGGCCCATCTTAGCCCCAGCAGGGATGGAGTGTCCCCTGCCCACAGAGGGTTGTGCCAGCTTGGCTGGGCCTGCTGCACTGTGCCATGAGCCCAGCTGGGCTGCAACAGCCCCTTGCGCATGGCAGGAGGGGGGCTGCTCCAACCTAGCCAGGCTGCCAGTTAACCGTAACCAGTAAGCATCACCTGGTAAGGGTGATGCTTACTGGTTAACAAGTTAACTAGTTAACCATTCATATTACTAATCGCCTTAGAGTGAAGCAGGGAGAACTCAGCCACCTCAGAGGCCGGAGGAGGAGCAGTGGCTACACAAGTTAATATTCCTGTGCTGCTGTCAGGGGAGCAAAAAGAGGAGGGATTGTGCAGAACAGTGGAGCTGCTCCTTGGAGAGGAAGGAGATGGGTGCAGTGGATGCTAGTGAAGCCTCGGCAGGAAGGGCCAGGGAGAAAGGTATGGCTGAACATGCATTTATCTGAGCCTCAGTTTGAATATCTGAGGTCAGTGGTGAATGTGGTGCTTAGTAATTGAGGCTGAGCTATTCAGCTATTTTCAGCTGATCCAAAAGAGTTCTGTTGAAAAAGCAAGCAATAGTGTGACTTTCCAGCCAAGCCAGAGAAGGCTATGTAGGAACTTCTGGACTCACGCAACCTCAGCGGCAGCTGCCTCATGTAAGTCCTGATCCAGGATAGCACTTAGTCATGTGCTTAACATTTAGCTCATGAGCAGACTCATTGAAATTAGTGGAACTAGTCACACACTTAGGGTGTGTCTAGGCTACAGAGTTTTGTCGACAAAAGTGGATTTTTGTCGACAAAACTATTCCTGCGTCTACACTACCGCTGAGTTCTGTCGACATAACGTTGACAGAACTCAGCAGTTTTGTCGACGCTGGTAAACCTCATTTTACGAGGCATAACGCCTTCTGTCGACAGAGTTCTGTCGACAGAAGGTGTTATTGCATGTAGGGCTGTGCCTAGACTACAGAGTTTTGTCAACAAAGCAGCTTGCTTTGTCGACAGAACTGAATGTAGTCTAGATGCTCTTTGTCGACAGAAGCTTTGTCGACAGTATCTGTTGACAAAACTTCTGTTGACAAAACCCTGTAGTCTAGACGTCCCCTTAAAGTTTTGCATGTGCCAAAGTGAATGCTGGGTCTGGGTCACAATGGGAATGATAAAGCTGGTGAAGATAAATTGTTCTTGTCTAATTAGCAAGCCTCGGAATCTCAGAATAGATATAATGGGCCTGAAATTGCAAATGGAAATCAAATGTTATTTACAATTAATTTCTGCTAACTGTAATCAGGAAGGGGGGGGACCATATTCTAGAAGAAATGCAAGCCCCCCCAAATGCTAACATTTTCTCTACAGCCATTTGATATTTATATCTGAACTTTCTGTGTCTTTTCCCCATCCACATACTGACAAGCCTGACCCTGTGTAGCTGATAAGAGCTGCTGAGGGCATGCTACAAGGTTACCTAAATGTAAGCACTGCTGAATAGTAATTACTGGAGATGGTGTAGTCAGCACAGAGCCCTCCCCTAAAGAGAACAGATGTTTGAAGTCGATAGCTCACTATCAGTCCTTTTCACACCCCGAGGATTTTGTGAGCCTATGATGTTACAGAACAAATGTCAGAGAGAGACTCAAGTCTAACATATAACTGAATACAGATGTGCAAGGCAAAACACATAAATGTAAGTTTAAGTTATAAGAATTGTAAAAATTGTCTCATCTAAATCTAATAGTTTTAATTTAATAGTTTGCTTACGTACAAGAAACAGTAATACGTGTTGTTGTTTTGTTTTAATTCCAGGGTGGTGAGTCCAACAAAGGGAAATTGTGTATATCTCAGAAGTTTGGTATTGGATTTGATATGATGTTGTTTTGTGAGCATTAAACTGCACTATTATTATTTGGAAACATTTTAGCTGTAAAGGAAAAAGTAAATGATTTCTGACGTTGTAATTGCTACATTTGTTAACTGCTTGTAATCAAAATTGTTTATGCAAACAAAATGTATCTGGAAAATCTTTGAAACTCCTAATTATTGGTTAAACTTAAAGCACAACCTCAAGATGGTTCCACAATGTGACATTTGTAATGTTTTGCTTGTTAAGTTGTTATACTTTTAAAATGTTTTGGTGTACAGATTACTATTTTTGGCCATTTCACACAAGATGAACAGAAGTGTATATTTATCAGCTCCACAGTGTGACATGTGTTGTTTGGTAGTGAACTTTTTCCACTGAAAGCCTTTATCCTGCAAATTACTCCACTAAGTGGAGTAATTATTGCAAGAAATATGTCATTGTGATTGTGCCCGCACTAGGGAGTTATACTACCTGTTATTTCCGCTGAGTACACAAACCCTTGCCCATGTGTTTAATTGTATACAATGAGCAGCCTCATTGATGTAGTGGGTACTTGTATGCATGGGTACTAGTCTTTGCTGGATCAGAGGCCTGTGATTTTTTTGTAAACCACACATTAGTGAATTGTATTCTGGGTTCAATTCAACTTCTGCTAAGGACAGTGGGCTAGATTATATGCTGTGCCTCCAAGAACCCAGGTATGCACCCTGCTCCCCCCACCTATGGGCATTTCTCCTCCACTCTAGATGCACATTCCTGTCAGTATACAAAATGGACTCGTCAGCCAAAGAAACCAATGGCAAAACTGTGGTCACCCTTCACATTTATTCCTGCAGCCAACTGACATCCAGGCATAGAACCTACTAAGGTGTTAGGACAGCTGAGGCATTCCATTAAGACTCTTCCAGTGTCCTTCCCCCTTCCACGTTCCCTATGACAGGGATTGCAGTGGGGGTAGAGTTATGTATGGTCAGCCCCACCCTAGTCCTGTGCTGTAGCAGTTCTCCCTCAGCCCCTTGTGACTTCTGTAAGGGGTCGACAAACACCAATGGAGAAGCATAGAGGGACCAGAACAAAAGCAAAGATGGTCTTAATGGAAAGATCCTTATTAACTTTGCTGAGAGTTGAGCTGGCCTTTTGTTCCTGTGCTTTTCATTCACAGGAAGTGATGTTCCTTTGCACATTATTATTCATAGATTTTAATATAGAATAAAATTAAGATAATATAAGAAAATTCTAATTACTCTTTTCTGCTACCAGCAGAATCTCTGTGGCCGCTTGGAGAATCTATTGAATGATCAGATCATATATAGAATTTCTTTCTTATTCTTTGTACATATTGAGCTAAATCTCAACTACTAGATTCCTAAACATCCTCTTTAACCATATAACACTATTTTTTTCACTCTACATTCAATTAAACAACGTTAAATATGCCATTGAACTTAGCTGTAAGCAAAGTATTGGGGGAAAAAGGACTAACTTTATTTAAAGTGAATGTAAACAAAAATACTGTTTTCTCATTATATTTTATCTGTTACAGAAATATTCCTACATTCCTGTGAAAGTGTATTTAATGTATTGGTAATTTACATGTTTTATATGTGTGTTTTTATAACTGCTTTATATTTGGCCTTTTATTTATATTCTATGTTAATTATATCAAATACCTAATCAAATTAAGTTATTATTCATTAAATTTCATTAGAATGAGCCAGGGAAGCTACAAAATATTACCAGAAAAAGTGATGCAGCTCCATGGTAGAATTTTGAGACTATCACATTGAATTCTCCATTAACAACTAATTCTTCACCTGTAATTTTGAATAATTGCTTCCTGGATTTATTTCCTCTAGAGAAGTCAAAGCAGGTAAAGACCTATGTTGCACCAAGAGACTTCATTGTCTTGATGGTTTCAGAAGCAAGAGAATCTTTCCTCTGTTTGCCTTTATTGTGGCTCAGCCAATTTACTGCAGATTGATCCAATACAAAACGCTTATGTGTAGATATAGTAAGAGACGGATTTTAAAACCTAGCCTCCCACTGTGCAAGGACAATTTGTAGGTTCAAATAATGTCACCTGCAATCCTGAGCATCTGAGTGCAACCCTGCAGCCCCTCTCCTGAGTTCACACAGTGTGAATTGGGCCTGTAGACAATTGCAAAACTGGCAGGTGCAACATCATGTAAATTGAGACACTGACTGAAGCAGATTTAGGAGTTAAGCTTCTTTACAGACCATCCTACTTTTGTTTTAGTCCATTTGTTACAAATAAAGGGAGAAGAGTAAATGGGGAGATTCTAAACTACATGACAGTTTATAAGGTTATAAATGAACATACATTTTAATTTTAAAAATAAATTCTATTCATCATAACACATAACTATGGTCTCACAAATATTTAAAACTTGTGTTCCTTGCCTGAGGTTTCATTCAGTGTCTCCAAAATGTATATTTGTTTGGGCTCACTTTTATTCTGTTTCTTTTATATGTGAATATCACTGTAGTTATTACACATCCTTTGGGCTGTTATTACTGTGCATTCCACCAGAAAAAAAATGATGCTGAAACCGTCAGCTTTGCAAATGTTATTTCCAAAACTGTCTCTTAAAAATTGATCACTGCACATTTTTATGCTTTAAGATATAAACTTGCTATTGTCTCACACATTACAATATTACAGTATAGTATGTAAATGTCCCTTTGCAGAATTTAGGAGGAGGCATTAAATGCTCCTCTACTGTACATGTGCATCAATACATGCTTTTATTACAGGAAACTGGGTGCAGTTGTAGAGATGTCAGTCGGTTGATTTAAATTTATACTTTGTTTTATGTTTTTAAGTGCCTAATGATTTTATGTCACAAACACGTTGGTTTCACTGTTATGATGCATTCTTACAACACTGAACTAGTTCCATATTGTTCAGTAATGCAATTTTTTGCAATTTCTGTTTGGAAATAAAGACTTATTAGACATCTCTGTGGGCTTCTTTTTATGGTTAAGATTTAACTATTAAAATACACATTTCAGTTAGATTGGGGTGGGCAATAAAATGGCAGAGGTTTGCCAGGGCTAGCCGCTAGCAGGCTACTGTCACTGTTAACTGTACCTCTGCAGGTACCAGTAATTGCAGCTCCCGTTGGTGGTGGATTGCCATTCCCAGCTACTGGGAGCCTCAGGAAGTGGTGCAGATTGGGACAATTTTTCTCACAGCTCCCATTGGCTGGAAATGTTGATTCACAGCCAACAGCAGTTGCAATCACTGGTACCTGTAGAAGCACAAACAAATATAACAGTGGGAGCCCACCAGGGACTAGCCCTAGTGAGCCAGATCTGGCTCATGGGCTGATATTTGCCCACCGTTGAGTTAGATGGTGCAGTAGGTCAATAATGCTCTAGACTAGTGGTTCCCAACCTTTTCCAGATGGGGAACCCATTTTGACAATTCAGGAAGACTTGGTGACCGAAGGCAATTCAAAAACGGGGGGGAGAAGCCCCCTGGGGAGACACTTGGCCACCCTTTTGAAATGTAATGGCGACCCATATTTGGGTCCCGACCCATAGGTTGGGAAATCCTGCTCTAGACTTACCTCTGCTGCAGCTTTATCAATGGTCCGTATATTTACAGAGGTTCTCAAATAGAGAGATGGAAAATGCACTGAACTTCAAGACTATTCTGTCCCATAGATACCAGCAATTGCTGACAACAAGCAAATGTTTTCCATTCTTTTGTGGGTACACCCTTTCTTTGTTCTTTTCATTGTTTTGAATAGTTTAGAAATGTTTTTTTTATTATTATTTTAGTGGATTGGTTAAAAGAAAACAAAGTTTTAAAAATATAAATCATTACTGCTTTTCTTTTTTTCAAAAAATGAAAAATTAAATACATTTTCAATCGAACAGTTATATGAAAATGTGACAAACGTCTGGTTTGAAGGTATTTAGTGAGTACCATAGACTGTAGGTTGTGGGTTTTTTATTAAAATCATTTTAGATCATATAGAAATCTAGGGCACAGTAATTCTAAATTGACACAGAGAAGAAAACAACCCTCAAGTGGAAGAATTTCAGAGGAAAAGTTTACACTCCTTAATGGATTTGCCTTTCACTGTAAAAGAACAGAAGGAAGATGAGCAGTGGTGGTTTCCCTAGCCTGTTTATCAGATGCTTGGAAAGGATCACTTGATGACTACGTGTTCTGTTCATTCCCTCTGGCATTAGCCACAGTCGAAATACAGGATACTGGGCTAGCTATATCTTTACTTTGACCCAGTATGGCCATTCTTATGCCATTAAGTAGGTGATTTAGCATCTATGCTACTTATTTAAGAGCTACTCCAAATAGAAAATGACTGTCTTATGAAATCCAGTGAAATATGTACATGTAGTGGGCGTGGCTTTGTGATGTGGACTTTTATCCTCTGGAGCCTGCTAGGGGCTGAAGTGCAGTTGCAAAACTTTATTTCAATCAGACCAGAGAATTAGGAATGAAAGGATATTAGGCCACCCAGCTCACACCAGTGTCTTTGAAAACACTCCCCTTATCGTTAATAAGGTACCTAGGGCTCATAGATCTGTGTAGTTTCTGTACAGAGAAGTAAGGGCAGGTAGTCAAGTTTCCCACAAAATTTGAGATTCCCTCAGAATCTAAGCTCCTGTTTAAAAAAAGAAGAAAAACTCGTGTCCCTTTGTGTGAAATGATGTATCAGTGTGTGTATTCTGGATTTATGTCAGTTATGACAATGGTTAAAAACAAACTGTTTCTTTTCTTTGTTATACAAACAACTGAAGATGCACACGTGAGAAATAAAAAGAGTAATAGGTCCCAATTATATGCTGATTTGCTAAATCAGATATGCCTTTCTGCATCAAAAAGAAAATGCTTTAGAGCACTTTAGGTAGCTGAAGTGTTTATCTGATGAGATGCTATTTGACTTGAACTATCATACACTAATTTGGAAATATAAGAGCACCACGGGTATGCTATTTTCTATGCTAATGTCAAATCATTGCCAAAAATTCAGAAATGAAAATGTCAGTTTCCCAGCTGCTGTGACCTGATGGCATATTTTCACATGTGATCTTGCTTGTTAACTAAAAACCTGTCTCTGAAAACACTCCCTTATTGATAATGAAACCTGATGAATTGTTATCTAGGAACTAGGAGCTGTAGATCTCTGTAGTCTTCTCAGTTGTTGGGTGTCCCTTCTTCCTGCAAAATTAGCTTTAACTAAAGAAACCAGCATGCTGCTGTTTTGTTTACTATGTGACTGGAAAGACTGAAGTAAAAATATGAACATCAAGGTCTCACACATATCATCTCACTGGTGATGGGTGTGCTCTAAGGACCTGTATGGAATGGAGCACTGCACAAAGTGCTAGACTGAGCCACCTGGATAACAGAATCTTGCCAACATTAAAATGTGGCTCGGTCTGGTGCCTGTAAATAGGACTGAAATTGTTTTACTATGTGATGGAAATGAGTTACAGTTCCGGCCTTACAGTTTACATTTCAGTTAGGGGCAGATGCTTATGTGAGGTTTCCCATTAAATTCACTACAATTTGGGACTCAATGTGCACCACTGTCTTTGTGCTTTCTTCATATCAAGGATGCTAACCTGATTCATATTGGCACTTACTTAGCAAAATAAGAAGAAATGCTGGGTATTATGTGCATACAAGATAAAGGTTTAAAATAGAATCACTAAATTATTAAACACATTTTTCTTTTTCAATACATCTTTAGACAGCAAACAGAAAACCTGTCATTTGCATAACTCCTAACACGCTGAAATTCTAGACCATTAGTCAGTTTTGTTTAGATGCTGATCTTTTTTCTGAGACAAGAAAATGCCACCCACCTGTGTTCAACACACGATGGAACTGAAATGATGCCAAAAGTGAAAACTGAGAGTCCCAACAGTGAGGGAGGAAGGGAGACATTCATTGAGGGACACTAGGTAGCACCTCCCCACCTTCGGATTCTCTAGTGCCCATTGGTCAGCTGGGAGAAAGGGGTATTGATTGTCCACCATTTCCCAGAATCCAGGGTTTAATCTGAAATATGGGCCAGATCAGGTGTCTTTCAGCTCTAATCCAGCAGCACCACTCTGTATTAGGAATGGGAACCCAGCATGACAGATGCTATGGATCTAGCCCATCACCCATTCGCAAGCTGAGGTCCCACCCTTCTGCACCCTTGCAGTAGGAAGGGTGGTAGGCCTCAGAACAAGGTGAGTTGGGCAAGCACCTTAAATCCATCCGTGCATGGGTGGTAGGTATGATAGACCAGGAAGCTTCTCCGAACAGCCTGGTCTAGTCCCACGCATGCGCTGCCTCCCAAGAAAGCCTGTGAGTTCTTGGCCCAGGCTGTGTCTGGGGGCGGAGGTCCTGCAGCCAGGACTTGGGAAGGGGAGGGCTAGTGTCTGCCAGGTGCACCAGTCAGAGGTGCTGCAGTGTTGCTGCCTGCCCGTTGCTCTGGGCCTGGGGATGGGGACATTGCAGCAGTGTCATCCACGTTATGCTCTGGGGTGGGGACACTATGATGTCCCCATGCCCTCACACTCTGGGGTTGGGGGTGCTGTGTCCACACTGCCTGCCCCACACTGTGGAACTGGGATGGGGAGGTGTTGCAGCAAAGGCACTCACCCCATTCTACGAGTCTGGGGGGGTAGGGTCAGGGTGCTGTACCTGCACCACCTGCCCAGCAGTCTAGGGCTGGAGTCAAGGAGATCTGGGGATGGGAGCATCAGTCTGGGGAAGGGGGAGAAACAGCAGATCTCTGGGTTCCAGCGGGAGAGGTAGACCACAGAGTGTGGAGGGAAGGGCCACAGATGGGGGCTATCGTCTGCCAGCTGCTGGTTCACCCACCTCCCATGCGCTTATCTCTGTCCTTGTTTCATTGCTGGGTCTACATCAAGTCCTCCCTGCCCACAATGGGAACCCTGCCTGATTGAAGAGCTCAGCGCAAGCCTTCTCTTTGAAATGACTGTGCCTTTGTTCCCATTAATATTTAAATGATAAAACAATTTCAGGATAATTTTTTTTAAAAGTGGGTGGGAGACCCATGGCGACATGCTAAGTGCCCCCCTCCTGCTGATAAATGAATACCAAAGTGATCTGAAGTCTTCTCTTTCTGACAACCTACAGTTACAGTTTTCTACCAAGCTTAGTAATTAAGAGCCAGAGCCACAAAGGACTAAGGTGCCTAAGCCCAGCTTGAGATGTCAAAATTCCAGTTTTAGGCTGCACTGCAAACCAAAAATACCCTGCTCAGGTGCTGTCTAACCCTGTAAGCACCTAAGCTCACTCAGTGGATAAATTGTTTGCTCTAAAAATCACCTAAACGTCTAAATTTCTGCCTCAGGGTGCCTAGCTGACAGTGAGAACTTCACAGCAAGGGGAAATAAGCATTTATCTGCCTTTTTCCTACAGGGGCTGCATGGTAGACATGCTCCAAGTACTCCTAGCCCCACACAAAGTAGGCATGTGTGGGGGGAGGGAAATGATGGAAAAGATTGCTTCCCTCATAATTTTTAAGCCAGTGGTTGGGGCACTTATGTGGTATATATAGGAGGCCCAGGTTGAGGAGAAGAAAGGATTTGAGCAAGGATCTCCCTCCCCTCAGGTTAGTGCCCTCATCACCAAACTGTAGTAGGATTCTCACTCATTTTATAGCCCAATTTAAAATTAAATGGCTTCAACATGGAGCCCCGCCATCAGAATAGCCCTTTACTCAGGCTATGTCTACACTACAGAGTTTTTGCGGAAAAACGTCCCGAAAGGTGTGGGGCTGGGAGGTGTGGGTGGGCTGCCTGGGCTGTACTACTCAGCCAGGCGTGGCTCCCTGGGGCCTCCCAGGGCCATGATGGCTGCCTCGTGGCAACACCACAGGGCCACTGGCAATGGTGGGAACCATAGTACATAGCTGGCAGAGGCTTCCCGAGGCTGGCAATGGTGGCAGGGGC